TAGCTGGATAGTTTGCGATCGGGATAGTTCAAATAGCTGGATATTTGGCAATCTCGAGATAGTGCAGACACGCCTATGGACTATTGTACTTGAGATTGAAAGAAGTAAATTCCCTTTCATGAGTGCATACTGCAAATTCATGTTCAGTGTCGGGTGTTATTTTGTCTCAGACAAATGAGACATATGAGAATTATGCAAAATACAAATTAATAGATTTCCATTGGTCCCTTTAAGGCTACCAATACATCTTTTAGACAATACACAATACATGTACATGTACATTACTGTACATGTATATAGTGTATGTTTCAATGATAAGAATGAAAATTAAAATAAAAGTGAAAATATTCCTGCCGCAGTTGATGGAAAATAGACAAGTGAAGAAAAAATAATATTCACATGTCGGGCTTAAAGCAAAAAATGTGTTTAATTTGTATCTCCTACGGTTGTTTCATTTTTTCTTCTTCACTTGTCTACGTTTCTATGATGATGGCATACATGTGTATGCCTTCATGTACTGTATATGAAGGGATTTGTGTAGGGCCTACTTGAGCATTGTATAACATGACTGTGTGTTGCGCATTGTACATGTAGCTCCCTGCCTGATGAGGAATCGGTAATGTTTACAAGGAATTGGCTTTCCCAGAAACGTGACACTGTCAATTCACGGAAGAACTCTCGTAAACATGCCCAGAGAGAGTACGCTGTATTATGCGCATCTCCCTTGTGTATTTGCCTCAGAGTCATTAAGGAACAATGCTCATTCCTGGAATCAAATTATATTAAATTTGGTTTTATGAGCAATTTATACAGTATGTAACTGTCATACATGTATTTTCACTAAAACGTGTTAGCATTTACATTGAATTTGGAATTATAAAATACAAACACTATTCAATTATACATAATTATACATAATTCTGAATATTTATTGCATTTTAATGAGAAAGAAAAATGTCAAGATATACCAGTCAGAGTGCTTAAAATTATTAGATACAGGTGTAATACAATTTTGGTGACTATTGCAGTATCTCATTTTAACAATTTATCTCTCTCTCTCTCTTTCTTTCTCTCCGTCTTATCCTTTTATCCCTTCATTTCTAAAGCCTTCCTCACTATTCTTCAGGAGCTCTCTCTCTCTCTCTCTCTCTCTCTCTCTCTTTTCGTCTCATCTTATCCTTTTATCCCTTCATTTCTAAAGCCTTCCTCACTATTCTTCAGGAGCTCTCTCTCTCTATCTCTCTCTTCGTCTCATCTTGTGTTTTTTTTCTTCATTTCTATCTCTCTCTCTCTCTTTGTATTTCCTTATCAAGTTCCTTCATCTATTTTGCTCCCAAATTTCACAGTTCCTCATTACTGTTTAAATTAACAGTCGTCTTATCAAAAAAACATTGTTCTCAACATCAAACTTCAAAGTCCACATTGGTAGATGTTTTTCCTGAAAATGAAAATAATACAATAACAATAAAGTACATTTATATAGCGCATTACATTACATTTCAATGCAATTAAAAATACATTGATATAAGTAAGCTAAGACTTTGATGTAATACAGTGTATGTAATCAAAAGAGCAGGAATTATTATTTTTTTCTGTTTTAGTTGGAGGTTTATTGTTATGATTATTCTTGAAGAGGGAACTATTTTTAGATCATTAATACATCAGTATATTGATTGTTCATGACAAAGAAATCATGAATGGTGACATATCTCATAAAAGCGAAAGCTGCTTCTAAAAATAATTACACTTACACTTCCTTATAATATCTTTCCTTATTAAGAGGAAAATAGAAATTAAATCAAAGGGAATACAGAATCACAAGTAAAGCTTACCTTATCATGCCTAAAGCCATGGCCATGGGCCTAAATGTACATGTACAATGTACATGTATATGTAGGTCTGTGTTAAAACACTCCTAATCATGAACAAATATTTGTAGAATTGGGTGGGGTTAGTTAAGTAAACTTAAGTTCTTTACAATATCTGGAGTAGCTATATTATGTTCCCTTTAATCACAAATATTGCAAACTCATCTATGAATTTAAGATTTGGGATATAAGGGGGGGGGGGGGGGGGCTGAGCATGCAAATGAGCATGCAAATGAGCATATTTTATATTACATAATATTATTGTAATACTGTGTTACTGTACGATTCTACTAATTCTGGAGCATATAAATTCATATTCTGCAACAAAGGAGGAATTTAAGTTGATGGTAATATTGATATGTACATGCATCAATGCACATACAGTCCATTCTAATGTGCATACATTGTACATGTACATATAGATATTTTAGTTATTAAATTATATCATAAAGACATAAAGCGAAAAGAGCCTCAACTTTGTAATTCAACTTTGAATTACACTGTAGAGGGCATTCAAAAATCTTTCTGTAGCAGATTTGCAGAATGAGCATTTCTTTCCCAAAAAGGAAGTAGCACAGACTTGGAAGGGTTTCCAATTATCTTGATTCTCAAGTTAACCTACTGTTTATGTAAGTATTACTGGAGACACATGTCAACTAGGGCTGCGACGAGTAGTCGAATACTCGAGTACTCGCACTGATGACAACTACTCGAGTACGATTTCTCGTACTCGAATATTCGGCTGCAAAAAAAAAAAAAAAATCCTGGTCACCTGTCACTGTCCAGGCGGACGCTAACCCGTGCCAGGGAGAGCGCGGGCCGCCGGCATGGTACCGTCATCAAAAATGTTTCCCAGCTCAATCGATGTCAAACTCACCACTCAGAAACTGGGACCAAATGTCCGGATTTCTGTTTGGACTCAGAGGAAAATGGATTATTCTGCCATCTTTGGTTTTTAAAACAGCATTGTTTACTGTTATTATTATTATTAAATTGGCGCCTTCAACTGCAACTCGAAGTAAAATTGCGTGAGTTTTCGGAGACGGACCTGGGACACTGCTCCCATAGTATGGTGGTGGCAACAACAACAAAAATAATAAAATAATTTGTTTTTAAATTTTTTAATTAAAACAAAACAAAACATGGCGTCCGAATATTTGAGTATTCGCTTGTAAGCCTGGGAGTGTACTCGGGGACCTCATTACACGGTTGTGCATAGCCTTAATGTCAACTACAAAATGTTTAAATGTGCTTAAGAATATAATATACTATGTCGGTTTTATTATGATGACATGAAGTGTATCACGCTTTTGTATCACTATTCTGTATCTTATAACACAGAGCCGAGTGAATATGCGCAAGTCGTTTGTTGTGCGCAGTTTCCTTTCATGTACAGAGTTAAAAAACGTGGAAGCATTTTTGAGGCAGTTAACCTTACCGTGCCCTATCTGAAAAAGTTTTAAAGTAAATGATCTATCCTGTAAATTAAATATAAGAGTCTTTCTTGCGATAGGTCATTGAAATGGAATCAAGCATGCAAGTTAATATAACCAAGACATTTTTTTTCTAAGCCACTGGTTGACATGGTTATGAAAGCAATTGTTATTTTTCATTCAATATGTGTTTAAAATATACAGTATATGTACATGAAGCAGACTTACAAGTTTATGTACCTCAAATGCTCTAAAGGATTTAATAGATGCAAACAAGAAGAAAGGCAACTGGAAAAAAATTAGGGTATGGACTCATCTGCTTTGTGCAAATCACTAGCTTATGGGGAATAAATAATATACACGTAATTAAATTTTGATAACTATACTACATGTATATGTACAGTATACACAATTTCTCCCACTTTAAAAAACAGGAGCAAGGAGAATTTAATTAGAAAAATCAGTTCTTTAGTACATGTACACTGACCTCAGTTATTGTTTGAAAGATGATATTAACTAATATCTATTGGCTTTGAGAATTATTTTGTAAGAAAGGGGGAAATGCAATTTTTCTTTTGTGAGCATTTCCTGCTAATAGAAAGTGTTGAAGACCATCATGTATTGAGTAGTTTCAGTTACTTGCTAATGCTCTGATTCTCTGGCTTTGTTACGTGCAGTATAGACCTTACTTGAGATATTAATTTCAACAGGCTTAGTTTTACTTTCGTACTCTTCTCTGTATTTCAATGAATAAAGATATTTGATAATCAGTCCCTGTACAATGCTGCACAACCCTGGGTAATGCCTTGAGGACTTCATTTTGTTCTGTATACTCTACAAGTACATTGTCTCTGTCCACTTAATGTGAACCATAAAGTACTAGTCATAATTGTTGCATTCATTGCAAAGAAATAGATTTGTTGCTTCAATGGGGAACACTGAAATGAGACACGTTCTATTTCAAATGTTATTTAGGTTGCAGAGACCGATACAACAACAACCACATAATATTAATACATTTAAAATCATAGTAGTAGTAGTAGTAATGTATTTATATAGCACATTTTATATACCGTACATTATAAATGCACTTTACAATTATGTTATTACCAGAAGAGGCGAGTTTTGAAATGTTGTTTGAAGATATTGAGAGATTGCTAGTTACAGAGAAATCTGGAATAGTTTATTCCACAGTTTCAGAGCAGCAGTTGTGTATGCTCTATCACTGTGTATTGGAAGCATCCTTTTTTTTAGCCAAGAAGTATGTTAAAGATAAAGTTGAGTTCTAGCCATACGATTGCATTGTGATAGAAACAGTGTGGAATCGATCAGAAAAGGTTGATCATGTAGCATGTAAGTATTGGTGTGTACTGTAAGGTTCTGGAGTTATCAAAATCATAATAAATTTGGCCCAGTCTTGGTAAAGTAACAAGCACTGTACACAGAAAGATGTATGGGACTACCTAATTGGTGTCGGGGTTACCTTGATTTCCTTATTTTTCTATACTCATTACTCAGCCAGTATACATTTTCTACCAAAATCGTTTGGCAAATGACATTTATTTGTAATCTTGAACATTCGGTGTAAGTTTCATTTGATTCTGTGAGAAATCATTTTCTTTTTTTACCAAAACTCAGGTATATCTTTAAATCCTTAATTTAACCTCTGTTTTGTGTTGGTTCCTTTTTTTTTGTGCAGACCTTGGCTCAATGTTTCTTGCTGATGCTGCAGACCCAATATCACTTCTTCCAAACTGCCGCTGACCTTCATGCACCTTTGAGTCGTTATCAGGAGCTTGAAGACCTGTTCATCGGTGAGGAGTGCCAACCAGAAGTCAGGGATGCTTGTACATCATGGATGTCAGCTGGTCAGGTACTGTATGAATCAAGGGCATAGTCTTAGTCTGGTTAGGGGAGGGGAGGGGGAGGGGGAGGGGGTATCAAGAGCTTGAAGACCTGTTCGTCAGTGAAGAGTGCCAACCAGAAGTCAGGGATGCTTGTACATCATGGATGTCAGCTGGTCAGGTACTGTATGAATCAAGGGCATAGTCTTACTCTGGTTAGGGGAGGGGGAGGGGGGAGGTATCAAGAGCTTGAAGACCTGTTCATCGGTGAGGAGTGCCAACCAGAAGTCAGGGATGCTTGTAGATCATGGATGTCAGCTGGTCAGATACTGTATGAATCAAGGGCATAGTCTTACTCTGGTTAGGGGAGGGGGAGGGGGAGGGGGAGGGGGGTGGTATCAAGAGCTTGAAGACCTGTTCATCGGTGAGGAGTGCCAACCAGAAGTCAGGGATGCTTGTACATCATGGATGTCAGCTGGTCAGGTACTGTATGAATCAAGGGCATGGTCTTACCCAGGTTAGGGGAGGTGGAGGGGAGTATCAAGAGCTTGAAGACCTGTTCATCGGTGAGGAGTGCAGGAGTGGGGAGGTACCCCTAAACACATTTTGCAAATAAAGTTGATATTGATTCTGATCAATCACGATTTGCTTAGACTCATTGTGCGAATTGTATGATCTGACTAGGATCTGATTTTGGAAGAATTTGAAAGAGTATAAATATAAATTTCAAACTTTTAAAACCTGAACGATTGAGGTCTGAACCGTGATGTACTAGCATTTATATGAACTTTCAAACGGTTCTGAACAGTTAATGCTTAATGAAATCTGAATTTTAAGGGATTTGAAATTTCTTTAGAGAAGAAAGCGCTAAATCGTAGTGATGTCAGACCAGCAGTGCAATTGTCTACAATTTGAAGCTGCTTGAGCTTTAATTCTGACTAGAAGGTTTAATTGCAATAAAATTCTGGTTGTTGGTATTTTTATCATTACGCAGAATCTAAATCGGGAAGAAGATGTTTGTTAAGATTTCCATAGCTAACATAATTGCCAGTTCTTCGAAAATCAGATCACATGAGGATCTTGAAGTGTACGCTTGGAATTATAAGATGAGGACCCTGGAGATTGTAAAGGTAGTAAAAACATGTATTTTAAAAGAAGCAAAGGCCCAATCTCATTGGTATCAAGTCCCACTTTAATTCACCTCTGATTGATGCAATTTTACACAAGTCAATTCATTTTATCCATGTCAATGCAGCAGCGTTTTTGTCTCGCCTGCGTAGCAAAAAGCGAGACATAGGCGCCGCTTTTCCGGTGACGGCGGCGGCGGCGTCAACATCAAAAACTTAACCTAAGGTTAAGTTTTTGAAATTTTGATATAATTTTAAAAGTATAAGTTCTTAGTCAATGAAACTTTGACTATAGGGTAATCAAGTATCCCCAATCATGTGAGTAGAATTTCAGATCACAAAGTCAAGGTCAAAGGTCATTTCAGGTCAACAGACTTGGACTATGTTGTAGCATCATCATCGAAAACTTAACCTAAGGTTAAGTTTTTGAATTTTTGATATAATTTTGAAAGTATAAGTTCTTAGTCAATGAAACTTAGACTATAGGGTTATCAAGTCGCCCCACTTATGTGAATAGAATTTCAGGTCACTAAGTTAAGGTCAAAGGTCATTTAAGGTCAACAAACTTAGACTTTGTTGTGGAATCAACATCAAGATTTTCAAAATGCTTCTTCTTCGTTATTTTTCCACCGATTTTGATTCTGATTGTTTCATATGATAGAGGTAGGAAAGGGATTTATAATTTCTACACAGAATCGTGAAATTCATTATCTATGCTAATTTATGCAAATTTATTCGAAATCACAAAAAAGTCTTCTTCTCCTTCATTTCTCGACCGATTTTGATTTGGTTTGCTTTATATCGTACAGCTAACTTTGGTACACTAAGTTTCTGCACAGAATTTTGAAATTGTTCTCCATTAATTAATTATGGTAATTTATGCAAATTTATTCCAAAAATAACTAGAATTGCTTCTTTTCCCTCATTTCTTGACCGATTTTGATTTGGTTTGCCTTATCTGGTAGAGCTAAATTTGGCACACTAAACTTCTACATAGATTTGTGAGATTTTGCTCCATTGATTTTTTATGGTACTTTATGCAAATGAAATGGAATTTCTTCCCTTCCAGGGCATCAAATTTTTTAATTTTGACCAGTTCAAAAGTGTACTACATAAAATTTACGATATTTGTTGTTGCGAGATGCAGATGAGCGCTACGTCATTGACGTTCTGGTTTATCATATTGAATTGCGTTATGCAGGCGAGACCGCCGAGAGCGTTTCCCTTGTTTTTCTTCCGATAGAAATACCAAATAAATAGATCATGATAGTCTGGTGACCTTCTTTCTGATCATGTTTTGTTTTATGATTTTATAGCTGACGAGACCTCTCCGTCGTGGGGATACCTTAGCATCAGACGAGGTTCATCTGCTAGAGACTGGCAGAGGCAAGTCTAGTCATAAAGATCCTAAACTCATGGAAGCTAGAAGGAAACTAGAATCACAGTCAATGGTTAGTATAACACCTCTTAACATGTTTCTCTTAGTGATAATAATAATGATAATTTGATTTATATAACACCTTTTCCAGAAGATACAAGGCACTGTCCCTTAGTCTAGTGACAAATTAAGAATTGCAGAGGTATGCTTTCAGATGTTTGTTGATGAAGTCTAGTGAAGTACTATTTCTCAGAAATGCATGAAGTTTGTTCCATAGAACTCTGTACTTTGTGGTTCAGTCCAGAGACTTATCCACTTGACCCCAACAGCTCTACATTGTCCAGAAACAACTTGTTTAATGTTGCTTTTTTTCGTTCAATTGACCATAACATTGAGTGTTGTAGCTGAATTTTCTCTCTTCCTAATCAAACACACTTCCATGTTAATATACATCCACATGTACATTATTCCTGGTAAATTATTTTTAAAGTTTAAACTGTTCCTCTTTTATTTAAAGATGAAGTTGAGTTCTGGTCATGCGATTGCATTGTGAAAGAAACGGTGTGGAACCAACCAGAAAAGGTTGATCATCTAGCATATAAGAATTCGTGTGTATTGCAAGGTTCTGGAATCATCAAAATGATAAGAAATTTGGCCAAGTCTTGGTAAAGTTACAAACACTTGCACAGAAAGATGTATATTTACGATGTTACATGCATATTTAGAATATGAAGGCATTTGAAGAGCCATACTTTTCAGGGAACATGTCTTAACTGCATACATGCCAACTGTTCAGATTAAAGAGGAACATTCCTCTTTTTGGGAGAAGATAATTATCATTTTAATGCAGGTGTTCCTCTTCCTGTACAAATTTGTCTGTAGTATTGAATAGGAGAGTTAGGATTGTTCCTCTTTTATTTTGAAAATAGCATAATTTGTACAGATTTCTGATTTTCAAATGTTGGCATGTATGTAACTGATGTTCTTCCACACTTGCATAATAAGAATGAGTAATGCTCACAAATTATTTTTCACCTCTTCCCAGAACTCAACCTTCTCTTTAAAGCCCTTGGAATTGATTCCCAAACTCATTAAGTAAGAGGTTTGTTGTGATATATCTTGCATCCATATGCAGGCAGGTCTGTTGTTTTGACATGCTATATTACATGAGGAATGTGATGACGCTGTAATGATAAGGTCATTTTGAATCAGCACATACCAGGAGCACAGAAAGACACAGAGTTCATGAAGAATGTAAACAATATCTACTGAAGAAAGAATATCATTAATGTGAAATCTATTTTCGCACTTCACCAAGTTTGATAATGAGCTAGGTGCCAAGTAGGACCCTGTGCTGGTTCTGGATAATCCCTAGAAAAAGTGATAGATAACTCAGAACTAGGCTTAATTTTGATAATAATAGTAATTAAATCAATTCTGTTCTTGTATAGCACATTATGATACGACGTCTCAGTGAACTTTCATGGACTATGGATATTATTGCTCTAACTTTAGCTCTATAAACCATAAGCGCTCAGGCATTTAAGGAATATATCCTATCAGGTACCCACTTACTTCACCTGGGTTGAGTGTGGCAAATGTAGATTAATGTCTTGCAAAAAGACGTAAGTGGACCTAAGTTAATTTTTACAAACATGAAAATGTGCCAAGGTGGCTGGACCCGACTCGTTAACTTTTTCAGCAAAATGTGAAAGAGGCATCTTAAGTAGGACAATTAATTCAAGCAGTATGATATTCGGAAAATATTCTAGTTCATATAAAGGGATTAAGATGCGGATTGAGATGTGGTTTCATAATCAGACAGCGAGGTTGTACTGATATTTCAGAGGAGTTGAAATCAACAAGTTGAGAATTAATCCTAAAAGAGATTGAGATGGGAGAAAGAGAAAGACTCCACGGAAAGTATATAATAAATGAAATAAGATCTGTTTGCTGCCCTCTGTGAATGAAAAGATGGATTGTATTGAATTTGGATTCTACTGACTGGACTGTATATATATCAACGTATTTGTATCATTTATCTCGACAAAATTGCTCTTTATGAAAATAATTCAGGTAATATAAATATTTTTATATATGAGATGCATCTGTGTCATTTTATTCAATTTCAAGATTAGGAAACTACATGTAAAAGCTACACTATTTTTTTTCTCTTTTTATAAACAATTTTTTTTTAATTCAGGCAATTCTACATGTATTATGATTATTAAATAAGTGTTTTGGTCTAGTGGATAAATCTTCAGAGTGTTAACCACGAGATACCGCTTCTCTAACATTGTTCGGCAAAACATTAATTTACATTTGTCACACTGGACCTAGGTGCAGTAAGTGATACCTGGTAGGATGTATTCCTTGAATGCACTGAGCGCGTAAGTTTCTGGAGCTAAAGCCCGTGTAATAATATCCAAAGTCCTTTGGAAGCACATAGAGAGGTTAAATCATAATGTGATATGCACTACACATGTATACGAGAATGACATATTATCATTACATGTATTTATGATTGACTTTACAGATCTACAAGCATGAGATTGCCATCTTGCCCCAGACGAGCTTTGCTCTACTCGGTGGGTTTCATCTGCACCTACAATGCCTTTCGATGCTCCTACGCTCATGCTGTATGCCTAGTGAAGCACAGGACATCATTAATAGACATGGGAGCAACCAATTAGCAGCTATGGCCATGGGTATGTACACTCTCCTGATTTACTCTCCCCCCCCCCCCCTATTTTCTCAGCTCTCTTAAAAAAGTAAGAGACTATCTTAATCTGAAAAGAAGCAGACAAAGCAGTGTTGTTAAAGGGAGTGGGTCGTCAGTTTCCATGTCCAGAAGGCCATAATTCGCTGACATCAGACTTGGTGGAAATACAATTTTATTTATTTACAAGTCTGCACACAGCGAACCTGTAGGTCCATCAAGAAATACCCTTTCGTCTCTCGTCTCTCGGAGAGTCTTCGGGTGAGGAAAAGTGAGACAATGACTTTACCATGTGGGGGAATGGATGAGGAAATACAAAGCATTACATGAGGCATTTTGGTCATAAAACTTCAGGCTAATCCTGGTGATTGACACCGCCTGAACAGTGTTGAATTCCCCATGAGAGCCCACTACTATGCGTCTTTAACCAAACCAAAAAGATTTCAAAATCCAATCAAGTTACTCTGCTGTTGTTCAGCTTGGTGAGAGAGAAACAAAATATGTTGAGAAACGACCTCCAAAGGTGGTTGATTGAAAGGTTTTTAATGGTGCGCATTAATTAAGACAATTAAGACTCTTCAACTCAAACTACAATGAGGTTTTATTTCATCTACTGTGGGAGGAAAATCATCATATCTTGGATTACCCCTTAATGGTAATCATCCCACACGTCTTTACAAGTTGAGCAGATAAATATAATTTATTGAAATCTCAAATCTTTTAATTTCATTTTGACTTTGTTTTTATTTGAACTTTGTTTTGATTTTGACCTTGATTCTGATTTGATATGTGGAATATATTATATTATGAAAATCATCTTTTCATTTTGTGTTAATTGTTATTCTCTATTCTCTTTTGCTTGCTATTTCATCTCTGTCTCTCCCTCACTCCCTCCCCCACCCTTTCTCCCTTTGTCTTGTTCTTCCTCCCCCTCTCCATCCCTTTTCCTCTCTCTCTCTCTCTCTCTCTCTCTCTCTCTCTATATCTATCCCTCTCTCTCTCTCTCTATCTATCTATCCCTCTCTCTCTCTCTCTCTCTCTATCCCTCTCTCTCTCTCTCTCTCTCTCTCTCTCTATCTATCCCTCTCTCTCTCTCTCTCTTCTTCCTCCCTCTCCCTTCTTTCTCCCTTTTTTCTCCTTCCCTCCCCCTTTTCCCCCTCTCGCTCTCCCTCCCCATTCTCTCTCTCTCCCTCTTGTGTACCAGGCATAGGTAGTCAGTCTACAGTAGGTCAAGCACAACCTCAGGTAAACCAGCAGGAATGGTTTGAGGCTGTGTGTAGAGAACTCAAGACGACAACCCTTCAGGTCGATGGGACGCTTTGCAGGCAGACGTCCAACACCGAGGAGGATTTTAACATCAAGATGGTATGATCATCCGCAGATCTCGTTCAGACATGATGTAAAATACCAGGAATTTTCAAATTCCAAAATGCGTAAAAGGGCCAAAAAGTTGCAAAAACATCATAAGTCAAAACTTTCCTAAAAGTATGGTGGCAATTAATTTTGCAGCTGGCAATATTTTTGTATGCTTCCGTTACGAAGTAGCCGGAGGCATTATGTTTTCGGGTTGTCCATCCATCCGTACGTGATCGCGTTATCTCAAGAACTGACTGATGGATTCCTACCAAACTTGTATGTAACTTACAAAGCCAATGAATTGATTAGATTTTTGGGTCAAAGGTCACAGGGCTAATTATGTATGCAAAAATAGCTTGTGTTCGCGTTATCTCAAGAACTGATTCATGGATTCCTGCTAAACTTAGGTCATGTATGTATCTTGCAGAGCCAATAAATTGATTAGATGTTGGGGTCACAAGGTCATAGGTCAAAGGTTACAGGGCTCATTATGTATGCAAAAATAGCTTGTGATCACATCATTAGAACAGATGGACAGATTACCATGAAACTCTGGACATGTATTATCTTGCTGAGGCAAAGCATGAGGTCAAGGTCAAAGGTCATGGGGCTCAATATGTATGCAAAAATAGCTTGTGATTGCATTATCATTAGAACAAGGATGGATTACCATCAACTCAAGTCATGTATGTACCTTGCAGAGCCAATGAACTGATTAGATTTTGGGGTAATGAGGTCAAAGATCAAAGGGTCATACATGTATATGAGAAATAGATTGTAATCACGATATTCTGAGAACCTGTTAATGGATTACAATTAAACTTGAATTTTTAAAATTGCTTCTGTTTTGGTTTGTAAAATTGCCCTATGATGGAGGCATCATTTTCGACTGTGCGTAGTCAAAGTTCCATCTAGTTTATCATCCCATTTGTTGTGTTCAAATTGAGAGCTTCGATTTTCACTCATAGAGAGAAAAAACACAGAGTCTTTCAATCTGAAAGTTTGCACATTCTTTCATAAACTCATTTTGCTGCTACAGATAACTTTTTGAGGGCTTGCAAATTAGACCTTCACAACTTGATTCAAAAGCAGCTTCATGGGATGCAATAGGACTTACTAATTTGATTGATTTGTAGAATCTATAGATCATTGTCTTTGCATCCTATTTCTCACTTCTGTTACTCATCATCATGTGTTTTGTGGATTTATGTGCAGAAAACCATCAACAACCTAGTGAAAGACCTAGCAGCTCACCTAGGTTTAATGGTAGATGTCCAGTCTATTACAGCGCAGATTGTGAGCCATGCATGTTCATCATTGGCTCATCTTCATAGTCAAACAGCTGTACAACTCCTCTTTGGAAGGGCTTATGTGGTAAGTGTCAGACTCTACAACTGAACTTCTAATGTGTGATTTGCAATAAGGTTCTAGTAAATCTTTCTGGTGCCCCCAAGTTGTTAAAAGTAAAAATCAAAATATTATTGTTGAGTGTTCAAACTCTCATCTTCATAGTCAAACAGCTGTACAACTGCTCTTTGGAAGGGCTTATGTGGTAAGTATCATAATCTGCAACTGATTTCCTAATTGGTGATTTGCAATGAGATTCTAGTAAATCATTTGGGTACCCCAAGATGCCCTTAAAGTAAATCCCAAAAGATTACACTGGAAACTCTTAATGAGGTCCTCAGGAATAAAAAAAAACAAAAGAATATAAAGAGTTGGATCCAGCAAAATCACCTTGTTATAACAGATACCTCGTTATAAATATCAGAGCTTCTTATTCCGAGGTTGCACTGTTTATACTTGAAGACTGTTCAAACCCTCCTCCCCTATTTGAAATGATATAGAGCAATAATGATATTGAAAAAATGAAATTACATCTGACCTTTGTGGCTTCCTTTGTATGTGAGTCGACTACAGTTGAAGGGTTTCTTTTCATGGACTCGCTCATTATCAGTGTTCACTGTATGGCTTCAATTAATAAACACATCGTTATCCTTCCTTCTTTACCATATAAGAACATAAATCTCCTCCCTCTTTCTTTCTCTTACTATTTCTCTTGTGGTAATTATAGCAATTCTTTTTTTTAAGAAAACTTAGATTATTTTATATTACCGTTAACCAGATATATTCACATCAGTGAAGAAGGAAAATGGAGGGGCTCCCAAACCATTGTTTGAGTATTTTTCGGGGGCTACTTTTCTAACTTTGACTAGGAGCTACCTTTCAAATTACCACCACTAGGGTTACCACATAATTGCCATTGAGCAGTTAGTCATAACGGTTTTGAGGGGGATTCTGGATCATTTTTTAAGGTAGAATCTGGGTTGTTTTTTATATTTACTGTCACCCCAGAAATTTCATTTTGGGGGCTCTCTTTGCCTTTTCATTGGCGAAATCGCCTGCTGCCCCCTTTTAATTTTTCCCCCTGATTCACATGCATATCATGTTAGCAGATTTCAAAGTGGTTCATACTAGACTAGTTCATACTCTTGAAAGTTTCATAACATGATGGAATCACAACTGACACAATTCACAAAGGTCTTTGGTTGCAAAAATTGGCTATTTAAATGTACAATTCATGGCAAAAGCTTCATGTTCTGAAATAGTGTGACTTTACAGTTCTATTGATATGTATTTCAACTGTGACTTTACAGTTCAATTGATATGTATCTCAACTGTAAGACAAGCCTTTCAACTTTCTCATTACCATGGTTTCCAATTTCCTTCATAAAGCATCGCCTTCAAGTGCCTTATGTTGTTTTTCTGAGTATCCAATTATGAAACAAGTGCCCTCTATTGTTGAGTCTTATGTATTTCTGAAAGCCAGGCCCCATATTAGAATCAATAATTCAGTTCAGTTCATTGTTTTCCACATTTCACATGATACACATATTACAATATAAAACAATTCTTTGTAAATGATAATCGCACAAAAGGAAATTAGATAGATGTAAGATGCGAATTTAGTATTTGATCAAGTTATTTAATAGCTGTTACAAGAAGACAAATAATAACCCGTTGTTTGTACTTTGAATGTTCTTTTGAATGACTGCTGTCAAATTTCATGATTCATCTGTCTACAAAATTGTTTATTATATTCATTTGTTACCAAAATGTTTGGAGTTGAATAGAATCACTATATGATGATGCTCTTAATGGCTGCATATCTCACTTTGATGATTACAGGTAACAGCTCGGTCTGCCGAGGTGTCTGAGCCTTACAAGAGGTACGCCCAGGTTACGTCACAAGAAGGAGCGATCGTGGTCGAGGTTCCATCGGTATGGGACCTAGTGATGGTGAGTGGAGCTGGTCTCCAAGGGGCGTGTCCTCCTGAGCTACAGGATAATAACAATACAGGTTCAAGCCAGCAGACTGAGCAGCATCAGCAGCAGCAGCAGCAGCAGTCTGGGCTAGGGGCATGTGAAGTGGTCTACTCAGCCAAGATTGATCTGGTGGATGTGGTGGAAAGAAGGTAAGGAGTATTAAAGACTTATAATTTAGGGATCTCACAGAGAATTTCACACCGATCTGGACCCTGTTTCATAAATCTTGATATCAATAACAAGTTGCAATAACTGTTAAAAGATACTGAAATAGCTGCTTTTGATTGGCTGAGAGCAAACGTGTTATAGAAATGTGACAGTTTGTATCGATAACAAGTTTTATAACAAGTTTTATGAAATGATATTATAAATTACTAGGAGTAGATTTCATTCTTACATCTGGACTTGCCTTACATAATGCACATTCTCTTCACCAACTTCAGAAGAACCTCCACCCACAAGGGATATTCATCATAAATTCTTTTCTCAAACCAAACTGAACACACTCCAATCTCCTGTAAGCCATGCTCTGTTTTATTCCAAATTCGATGGTTTCCCAAGAGATTTTCTACCTGTAAGAGTTTCAAACTTAATGCTTGAGAATTTCACCAAGGCTGGAGTGAGGTAACTGCCATATTGATTATTGTTGAAAGGTCTGTCTTCACAAGTTATCTCTCCTTTTTTTTATAGAATAGAAATAATCCTGCTACAGAGATGTCTGAAATATTACAATTATATTGTAGAAAAACAGAAAATGACAAGAGGAAAATTTCAGAAGTTTTTTAAATCTTTGATTCCATTGCCTCAAATTCACAAATAAACTTGAGTTTTACTAGGTTCCAAAACAAACATTCTGAAGAGATGCTGCAAGCTATCTAATGCGTTTTAATGATTTAATTTGTAACAGAAAAAAAAAATTGAAATTTTCAACCTGTTGTTAATTCTGCAGAAGAATATCCCTACCCATCATCCAAGTGAAGTTGGTCAAGAAGGACATCTCTATCACAGTGACCGGTCCACACACCAGTATGTCCAGCACCTCAATGACCTCTACGACCCAGTCTGAGAGCCTCTCCTCACCCAGCGGTATGAAGCGTACCATCGAAAAGCTCGTCTCTAAGTTCCGTCAGAGAGTCCCCATCAGCAAGGCGTCGCCCATGTCGTCCTCCTCCCCGTCTGCTTCTACCGCCTCCGCGTCCCGTTCAGCCTTCTACCTCCCCATTAGCCAGCTGGAGGTCCAGGCAGCGGTCGGGGGAGGGGTCAGTCCGGGAAGCACCAGTCATACAGCCTGCAGCAGCTTGCTGTCTTCGCCATCGATATCGAGTGGGTCATCGACGATGTCGTCTAATAGCAGTCTGTATGACAGGGAGACTCCTGATTCTGATGGACCCAAGAATGCCAAGATGGTTAGTAGTGATATTATGTGATAGGGACACTGCACAGATGGAAAGTCATCCCAAGAGAAAATTATGGTTAACAGTTCACAAGGGTAAAGGGGAAATAGGATTCTATTCTTAAGTTAACTCAGATTTAACTTCTGTGTTTGCCAGATTGTGTGTAGTACCATGTTGAGTCTTCTCATAAGCATATCTTACTTTTATTCAAACTGCAATTTCAGTTTTATGATTGTAATATCTTATCATAGAAGTAATGTCTAAAGCTGACATTTTGAATGTAGAGTGTCAGCATCGAACCTCAGATGGACAGACCCAAAACACTTCAGGATAATCTGTCTCCTCTAAGCTTCCAAGACTTTCTTGTACTTAATTTTCACTTGTTTTCATTTGAAGGTGCCTGGTGAGAAGGTCTTCAAGCCTGATCCCAAGGACTTTGATGGCAAGAGTCCGATGGTGGGACCAACAGTGACTATTACATCAGAACCTAGTCCAGTAGAGGAGAAGAACCACTGGGAGACATCCATTATGAGACAACATGGTGAGATTTCACTTCTTGATTTGACGTTGAATGATTGTAGGATATGTAAGATCGAGTGTTACCATTTGATATAAAGCATGGAGTGTCTAAGATAACTAGGCTGGGGACACAGTTTCACATCAGAAACTAGTCCTGTGGAAGAAAAGAACCAATGGGAGACATCTATTATGAGACAACATGGTGATCTATCCTGATTGTATTTGCCTGTAAACATTTGTTGGATGAGTGTTGCATTTACTGATCTTCAAATTGTATCAACATTTTGAGGACAATATATGAGATGTGGCTTTAGTTCTATACATCTTATACTGCACATAATTTATATAACTCTTTTGTGTACACCCTGAATCTTAAAACTGAAATTTGTTACCAGAATATGTAACTTTCCTATTTATATAACAGTTTTCTAGTTAGATTGCAAGTTTACATTCTTTTTTTTTCTCTACCTGTTCACAGATTTGACAAGAACCAAGAAGGGTCTAGCCTCTGACTCTGTCCTGGCTGACCTAGTCAATCTCCTATCTGGAGTGAGAGCCAGGTCCTCCTCCCATCTAGATCCTGGAACCCAAGGACACAAACCGTTCCATGACAGCGTCACCCGTACCTCCAGCTCCAGCAGTACCAGCAGCCAAGGTGGTGGAGGATGGGGTGGGCGTGGTGACGGCATCGACAACGGCAACCGCTTCGGGAACTACAACCCGACGTTCCAGGAAGGGGATCTGATAGATCGCATCCAGGACCAGCAATCTAGCATGTGGCCTATCAAGGCCTTCCATCAACAAGCCCCACATCAGAGCCAGCAGGAGATGCCGCACCGCAGAACGTCCTTCGATAACAACAACGAGGCAGATTTCGCCAACTACATAGCCATGAACCAGCTGGGGAAGCGGTCGAAGCGTTACGGGGATAACTTGAACGTTGGACAGCAGCAGCATCCTGGACATTCACCGCAGCTGTCTCCGAGGCCGCATCAGAAGCAACAGCAGTGGAGTGTGGGGAGCGTCAAAGAGGAAGGTCCTATGAGCAAGACATGGCCATCATCAGATGTGGTTCCTGAAAGGTAAGATGGATCATTATTATGATACAGTGAAACCTGTCTATAAAGACCATACGAGGGAGACAAGAAAAGTGGTCTTTATATGCAGGTGGTCTTTATGTACAGGTTCTTATATGTTTCAATGAGAAACTATTTTCAAGGAAAATAAAAAAATGAGATCTTTGTAGACAGGTGGTCACTAAAGCAAGTTTGACTACCATGTTACCCTTGGTCATCTTGATTTACAGCATATTGTGCATGCATAGGAAGTTACTGTTAACCAATTTACAATGATAGTAAGCACCTCGGTGTGAGTTTCATCAAATTCGAATTACCGGTAGATGAAAATGTGTTAATTCTAAAGTTGTACTCTGAAACAAATGATTAAATGTAGGTGAATGACTAGAACTGTTTCTTTTTTCCTGTACAAAAACTTGTGGTGATTGCAAACTATGCCAATTAGTGTAAATGGTTTATTACAACTGTATTAATCAGCTTCAATTCTTAATTGAATGGCTCATCATGTCAACCTCTTTAAATCAATCCCAATGGAGTTTCAGGTAAGGGCTATCCGATTATTGCCTCTCCAAAAGATTTCTAAATCCTAGAAAATAATCTAATATTGCCTTCTATGTCCTGTCTACAGGAATGAGAATCTGAACAACACATGGTCCAACCCAGCCCATGATTCTGGGAGCTCTAGTGATGAAGCATCTAACAGCGGAGAGAACCCAAATACTCTCATGTCTATGGTCCACAGCTCACCTGCAGGAGCAGGTCTACTTACTCCCGTATCAAGAAGGTAAGAAAAGCAGATTCAAAGATTTATCTGGCAATTTTGTTCTCGCTCTCGTCCTTGGAAGTAAAGATGAAGAGAGGGAGGCAGACAGTCAATAGAAACATGGCTGTTCTCATAATCATACAGTTCAAGGCTTATAAGAGGCCAGAAAGAAATGAAGATAGGGGGATTTGTATAAGTTGTAATGAAAGAGAACCAATACCTTCTTAACTTTGAAGGAATCTTTAACTGTATAATAATGCTAATAATAATATGGAAATGTATATAGCGCAGCTACTATATGAATATACTCTACTGCGCTTAATAAATAGTATCATATTATTTCCCCATCTGTAGCTAAGGCGGCAGGATACGGCCCTTAAGTATTGAAGTAATTTCTTCCTACCGGGTATCCATTTACTTCACGTGGGTGGAGAGTGGAAAATGTAGATCAATGTCTTGCCAAAATACGTCAGTGCATCGGTTGATGGGTTGAAATATGAAATGTAGCCTGGAAAAACCTATAACTTTCAAGGCAAGTCCCAATTAAATGCAATATTTTATTCATCTCTTTGTTATATGAAATGGATAGCCCTACTAAAACAGTGACCTACTGAAGTGTCTAGTTTTATATATATAGATATCCAATCATGAATTACAAATATCTTGAGCATGCCTTTAATATCGCTCATAATTTTGTAGAAAAAATTTCCATTGTATATCCCGTTTCTATCTCCTACCCTAACCACCTACCCCTGTCACCCTACCTTACAATCAGAAGACACAGCAGTGGAGAAGATACGTTACACGGCAAACCGTTCTGTCCCAGCCCTGAGCTTAACATGCATTATCTGGACGTTATACCGATGGTAAGTCATCTTACATTTATACTCTCTTTACCCTAAAGGTAAATACACAGTGTTGCATTGTTGCAGTTCTACAAACTGGTGATTTAGATCGATGTAAGGTCTGCCACGTTTCTGCAGAGATGATATTAATGGAATGATTTCTAGATCAGCAAAAAGAAAATTGAAGAAAAAAAAAGCATGCTTGTGGGATAATGAGCTAGTCATATCTCATTGGGATGCAAATGAGGTGTACATGTAAAAGGATTTCAGCAATGTAATCAAGTAATTTCTTTTGCGATTTGTTCAAATAATTATTTCATGTACCAACCAACTCTCATTCTAATCTTATTTTCTGATGCTATCAGGACAAGAATGGCACCAAGACATGGCCACCCAAGATGATCTGGCAGAGACCCAACTCCCCTCAACCTCCAACCCTAGGCACAGGTGGACCACCATCAGGAGGGAGTGGGGGTAGTCCCGGAGGTAGCACCCACCAACTCTGGCATCACCAATCACCATCCATAGAACATCTCAATGTCCACGCCCCTCTCACACCCCAATGGAGCGATCCCCTCTCCCTTCGGCAGCCTTCTGTCTGGGCCCCTAGCTCCACACCTGTCTCTCCCTCTGGCTCCATGAATGCCATTGCTACATCTTCTACCGCTACCAGTCACAGTCAAGGGGCGTCGCCCAATCTCTCCATCAGGGGACATCCCAAGCTTGATAGGCGCTATGCATACACCTATAATAATCAGAGTTAATCTTTAAACTCAGCTCAGTGTCCTATATGCACAGGGTTTATTTTTAAGGCTAAATTGATTGCATAGTGATCTTCAAATTGGCAACAATAATTCTTTTTCTTCTTCATAGTTAAAATAAAATGTGATGTCTCCGAAAACAATCTGCATGGGCAAGAATGTTGTAGGAAAGTGGAGAAAAAAAATGCCAATTTTGATTGAAAAACAATGATTTTGAATCTCTCATTGAGTTGCCAAGTTAAAGATTTTAATGCTTATTTTCTTTTTTTAATTCCTGGCATCATACACAATATATTCTTGAAACGAGAATGTTGTGAGTAGAAATGTTTGGCCTTTCTACTTGTGCATGTGGCATATGTTTGTTAGGGCTCTGAATCAAAAGTTATTGAGCCAAACCGTAAAATGTGGAGTGATTGTCACAAATGGGGTTAAGAAAGTCTAATTCTGATTTTATCATTCTGTATGTTGCATCATCAGGTAAATCATTTTGACTATGTACTAGCACTGTAGAGATTTACTCGTGAAAAAAACGATGTATTTTTGTCATGGTCATAGTCGGATCAAAATAACTTTCCACCAACCCTTTTTGTCCAAACAGAATCCGAGTAAATCATATAAAAGTCCATACTTGCTATAGCAGGTTGTTTCAGACAGAGATGGGCAGTTTCAGAGGTTTTAGGTGCTACATGGTTAGAAGTGTATCTCCAACCTCACCTTTATTTCCATACATACAAATCAATGTCGGATTCCAATGTTATGATTTGAAAGAAGATACTTCTTATGCCTCCTATATATAAGTCCTGTGTACAACTCTACATTACACTGGCTACTTTTGTCCTGAAAGTCATTCTTCGAAAACATTGCATGGATTGTATATCTAATGCATCTCTCAAGTTGTTAGTATGCAAAGCAGATGTGAAGTCAAAGACCCATGTACCTTGCTCTCCTATTTAACATTTGTGTTAGTAATTGCCATATGCCCTCATGGTGACCATATGGTAGAAATGGGTGTGGAGATGGTGCACACTGTGCGTGAATGATTCCAACGACTGGGGTAATATATTTGTAGAGTGCTTGGAGACGGTATTACGTATTAAGCGCTATATAAATCCAGATTATTATATTATTATTATCAAATGACTGCATTGAAGACCCTAAGTAAACTCTGATCAACGGACTTGTTCTGTAGATGCTTGCTTGTTTCTCCTCAGGATTGTGTTTTAGTCCTATATCACAACAGTACTACTACATTACATGAACTGAAGACACTCATAGCACGCTGCATACTCATTGGACAAGAATCATTCACTCCTCACAACCAATGAAGTAAATGATATTTAGATGCGTTAACAATGCATTTTAAATCAACCGTTATGTGATGTGACGGTTACTTATTGTGCATATGATGTGCATATGTTACAATTAGGGGGGGGGGGGTCTGTTTGAAATTACTTCATATGTTGGGTATTGTTGCCTTGAATGGTCTTGTATTTCGATATATCTGTGTTGGTAGTCTGTTCAAACTTGATGTCAGCATCACACATATCATATCACATGAGATTAAGTAATGAAGCAAAAAAAAGAAGCTCTATGTAATTTCAATATTTTGTATGTTGAGTCTGTGAGGTACCAATCGCTTCATCATTACAATCCATTTGGCTTATGAACTTGATGTACTGTATATAGATGATTTAAAATGTCATTCTTTTTTGCTCGACACTTCTGAGTTACAATTGTATCATATTATCTCTATATAGTCTATATTTTGTGTCCCATCGTTTCTCTCCATTTCTTTCTGTCTTCTCAATTCTTTTCTTACTCTTTCTATTATTTTGTTCCTACATTTGTATGCCTCCGTCAGCAAAGGTTGTGCCAGAAGCATTAAGTTTTCAGGGTTGGTCCAATTTGTATCTCTCTTGATCTCCTTTTTTCTCCTACGGTCTTTGATCCTCTATCACTTTCATTTCTAGACTTTTCTCAAGGGTCCATCTTTCTATCTTCCTTCTCTATCCATCTGTACTCTTTCTCTTCCCCTATACCCCATTCTCCATTTATCTTTCTGTGTTCCTATATATTTACTAAAATTATTCTCTTCTTCTATGCATTTCTAGTTTTCTTTGTTTGTCAGTTCCCCCTCCTTTCCTCATTTAGTTCAATCTTTGCTTCACGTTCCCAGAATATATTCTCACAAGAGCTCAAGAATGATAGATAATTCATTAATTTGTTACTTAGTAGATATAAATGTGATAGGGATATTACTGCAGTGTCATGTAAGGGAATAAGAGTGCCGTACCAAAGAAATACTTTAAGATGCTTACGAGCTGGAAATTCGTACTTGTTGACATCATCATGCAAATTCATAACATAATGTCATTTCTTTTTCCTTCAATATATTGTTTTGATACTACAGACAGAGCACTGGTCTGCTCAGAGGATTCATAAGATGCAAATAGCCAATTAGTATTTACTAATTGATTTCTTGATACGTAGAATTAGAAAACTTCGTTGATTCCGAGGTGCTTTACAAACATGACGGTTGACCCTGACTTTAAATGCATTATTTTTTTTATAACTACCAGATTGGATTATTTTATCATAGCAAATTTTTTCAAAGAAAAGTGTTGAAAACAGAATTATTACTGTAGAGAATTTAGAAACTGATTGCATATTAAGAATTAAACAGAGCAACTGGCTTGCTAAAATCATTTTCTTCCATGGATCACTGAGTTACAGAGTGAAGAAACAGGCTGATGACCTTGACATGACATTGTGTTGATCGTCACAATATATGGCATGACATTATAATGTATAAAATCCAACTTTAAAATTAAAAAAGGGGAAACTGATGTACCTTATAATTGTATCAGATGTACTGTTTGATGGACTTTGTCAAAGCTAATGTTGTCAGGTACACAGGAGTTTATACGTGCATGATTCTTTTTTCTTTTTTTTTTTTTTTCTTGTAGAGCTTGATAGTCTCTAGTGTTTGCAGAAGTAACTTAGAAGTATTTGTTACTTCTCAAAAGTATAAGGAAAATATATATATATGTATAGAAGAAAAAAATACGTAAAAAAAGTCTCTTTATATTATCTCATTGTTCTGTGTTGTTAAACTGGAGTTGCTAGAAAGATATTTTCATAAATAGACCAGTTATCTGCATTCATTCATCTACATGTACTTGTATAGGCTAAGCCAAGATGTGATGTAGAGAAAACAACAATTTGTATTAAATTGGAGGTCATTAGGTGAAAGGTCGCAGGCTAGTTTACTGGAAAATTATAATTACTCAGTAATGCAATATCTCAAGAACCTCTTGGGGTATAGACTTAACTTTATACAAATAGTATGCATCAACACTAGGATTTAAATGATAAGAATATTGAGCCACCACATACAAGATCACTCATCAATAGATTTTCATTGGGTTTTATTGTAAAAAAACAAAATAAAAAAATATACAAATAAAAAAAACCTTTGTTTGATTTTGGTTGAATACGTGGACTAGGAAAAGATAATCAACAGCTAATTAGCTGAGGCATATATTAGAAGTGCTCTTGCTTTCATCTAGTTTTTCTTGCATTTTGGGTGTTCTTCTCATGAGTTGAAATTGATTATGACGTTCTTCAGGTTGGATAAGTCTTTCGTCGTTCTGTCCATGTTCTCCCGACCTCCACTTCTCTCCTGGCTAGCTCATGCTCTCTCCCTAGAACCCCATTTACTCCATGTCATAACAAATTTGTTTCAAATCAGGCTTTCACCTCACACCTTCATTGTTCGCGAACCTTGCAGAAAGAAAGCTTCAGGTCTGTGCCTTTGAGCCATTGCTACAGTTCCTATTCAAGACCCGACCCTTTGTAGACCAGGCAGGGAGCATTTATAACACCCATTCAGCCTCGTTTGCGGGTCTATTGTTCCCTCACTGTAGCTGGGGCTATAGGAGTAGACTGTAACTAGGGTATTGGCTTACGAGGTATTTAAGACCACAAAAACTATGGAGGTGTAAGCCAATGAGTAATTCTCTTTTGGGGGAAAAAGTTTTGAAGCTGGTGGTGTATTTTGGGGGTGAGGATTAGAGGTAGGTCATTCAACCTCGTCGGTCTTGACATACAGACGCTATTCATTTCATCTAGCCATGCATAGCAGCTTGAGCTTTGAACAAAGATTGAACAGTGTAATGCCCCTTTTATCCACTTTTGGAGGTGTGATGGTGAATTATTTCTACTTCCTGATGAAAATTGTATTCCCATATAATAATAATAATAATGATAATAGGCATTTCTATAGCGTCATCTATCTAGATAATTCTATTCCGAGGCACATTTATTATTACCCCGGCTTTAGCCTAGCATCCGTTTATACTGGCTATGTAAGAATATTTCACACATTATCAAGCAGATACCGATATTACACAGTTTAACGTTCTTGACCAAAAAAAAAATAGAATGAAGCACATCTTCCCAGTTTTTCATAATTGCTGTCTGTATTCCCTTTTAATAGTACAAGTAATAACTTACATTCTGATCAGTGCTACCCAAGATCTTTGATTTGTATTGAAATGAAGCTTCAACTAGAATGTCATTTATTGTAACTACTAACAATATATTGGACAACAGCTATGACTGAGAGTCTCTCAGATATGCTGTTTTCAATGCAGTCCATGTAATCTGCTGTTTACGTGTATCTTATTCCAACCTTGTGCTCATACTCTCCCAACAAAAAGTGAGCATTTGATTGGTTGCTGTTTGCTTGGATCGTCCAGGAGTGATGCAATAGTTCCTCTCCGATCAGACTTCAAAACAGGTTGCTTTAAACCGCTTTCCTTAGGCTTCTATTGCACTTGTTCTGATTCTTATTCATCAAAATACTACATTGGCGTCAAGAAAAGACAACCGTTGTTAATCTACTGAAGAAATACCAAAGGTTTTCTTTTTGTTACACTTTCTACAAATCTGGTGTTGAGAGAATTGTTGTTAACAAGGTTGTGGCCATGCTACTTTTTCTTGGTACCTCACCGCCGTTTCTAATTCCAAGACCGCATCTCTGGCTTCTAACAAGAATTTAAAAAAGCTTCTTGAAGCCATGAGAAAAAACATGTTTTCCTTTGCCTCTCTTCTCCACTTCAAATTGTGGTGAAGTTGGGAAATCTTTGAAGAAAATCATCACCTTATGGTTATCTCTCACTCTCTTTTTCCTGTCTCCGCTTTAAAGCATGAACAAACTTTGAAAGCTTTCACAGGCCATGGAGGAACTTTGTGACATCCTCTTGTTTACTTTTTCTTTAGAAGCTGAAGCTAAAGCAGCTTTTCCAAGTAAGTAGAAAGAGCACATAGGTGTTACTTATGGGTCTTGTTGGGATTATACTAACTTTTTGTGAAGCTTTGTTACTTGATTGGATTTTAATCATGATGAATACCCTTCCAATCAACTAACCTTTGATTTATGTAATGTTGCTTGCTTGTAAGGTAGTATTTAGGTCAAAGATGACGATACTTGGTCCAATATGTTATCATTTCTTTGTAAATTCATTCAAGACCATGTGATTTTCTTCCTTTTCTTAACAAAAAACTGCATTATTGCTTCGGAAATTGACCTGGCTGGTCCAGTCATTACATGCTGTAGACTAAGGAGAAAGTTTGTACGATCGACTCGTGGTTTTATACTGATTAATGATGACTACTACTGCAAAATGCGTCCAAAATGATCTTTCAGTCTTCTTGAATTTTTGATACCAGAGAGAAACCATTCTATGCATCAATGCCGATAAAAGTCTTTTACAAAGTGGGATTTACAAGACATTTATCCAAGATTAATTAGATTAGATTAGACCATGAACGGAGTAAGATTCCTTCCTCTGCTTTTGTCTCACCATTATATTGTATTCAGAGCCACTTATGGTCCCGTTTGTCAATCGTTTTCTGGAAACGTGTCTTGTTTTACAATAGATGTTAGCAATTGTACTTAGAACAATCTGACTTGGATGAAATTAATACATTAAATCA